GTTGATATTTGTCGGTTACTATGACTTCTTTTTTTTCCCCCCTCAATTGCATCAAACCCTTAAAACATGGTGGTAAGTGAGCGATATGCATGCTTTTGGAGTTTGTTTAATCTCCGCTTCAGTCTATACGATGCACAGTTCATAATGTTAACACTTTTCTTCAAGTTTACTTCATTCACTTTCACAACTAATTTGGATTTCAGTTTGCTGTTTAATCCTCATTTACTTTCATTTTCTTACCTTTTATCTGTAGTTCTGTTCTTTCCCTCTCTCCTGATTTCCTTGTTAGAGGTCAAGTTGTTTTTTTTGTTTGACCTGTAAAGGGAGAGTGGTGCTGCAGATAGTGATTCAGTCCAGGAAAGTGGGAGACTTGAGGCTCTTTGTTCCTTATAAATGTGGAAGTGGATTTGGGGAGAGAGATGAAGGGGCTCGTGAGACGTAGGCACAAGTGTGAACAGCAACTGCTCCCACTTGCAGGCATGGCAGCTACACCAGAGCCACTGTTGCTAAAACCTCTCATGCAGCCCTTTGCACATTATCGCCTTGTTGGGCTGGAAAATGACGTTATTAGTCAGACACCAGGGCGTACATATATCCCAATTACTGAAGAAAGAAAAGCTCATGGTGTGAAGTGCTTGGGTTAGTGCTGAAGTGTCACGCTTTGAAAAGATTAGCTTGGCTATCGCGATTCCCTCTCCTCTTTTTTTCTCTTAAAATTGGGAGTAGATTGGTGATATTCTTGAATCAGCTATCTTGCTTTAGAATTTTGTGTTTTCGGGTGCACAGCCAGAGCACTAAAAATATTCTAAGTTTGCTCCTGTGTCCTTTCCTGTAAGTCCCAGAAGTGCTTAGTTCCTAGCATGTAGCTGAGCTGGCTTGGCCAGGATGCTGAGAGCGTTAGGGTGTTGTGGTGAGGGAGGATCTAGGCTGGGCTCGTGGGTCTCAGTACCTGGTACGTCTTTGTATATCTCCACTGTATACACAGCACACAGATGTCTTGGGTGTCTGAGTCTTAAGTTTGTCCTCTGTACTGTTCGATACTGTACTATTGTTAGTAGTAGAATCCTGTGGACACTGGTGTGTTGCTAGCCTATTGTTCTGGCTAAGTCACTGGTTTGTGGTTAGTTTTGTTTCTGTTTTGTTTTGTTTTTTTTCTTTTTTTTTGAAATCTTTTCTTGCTCCAGTCACTGTGTGTGCTGGCGGTGGCTTTGCCTCTCCGTTGCCTCAAAGGAACAGGTGGAGCAATGTCTCCCTCTGACAGACATTACTCCTGATGTGTGCTCCTGCAGATGCCTACACTGAGACTGTAATCTCCATAACTGCTTCATGTGCACCAAGCCCCCTTGTGGAATCCTGCTGAGAGTTTTTCTAGAAGCCTTCAGTTCTGACTCATTTAGTCTACCTGACGTTTGTAAAATAAAAAGAAACTAAGAGCACTTAACTTGTTTCCCCTACCTTTGTGGGCCTTAAAAAAAAAAATTTGTGTGTGTGTGTGTACAGACACACACACACACACATACACACACACACACATATCCCTGGTTAAAGGGGACCAAGTTGCCCTTAGTTGAAACAGGAAGGAAAAACTTACAAATCAGAATCAGAAAATACCAATTTAAGAAGGCACCTAAACTCAGATAATGTAAGCTTTTCGATTAAAAAGAAAAAAGATAACTCATGGCTCATCTTGGGTTTGGGTTCTGGTTTTGGCCAAGGCACAAGAGTGCGCCAGTTTTTCTATCTGAAGTCTTTTCTAGAGGGATGTCAGCACCATTCAGCTTTCCCTGGTCTGTCACAGAACATCCTCTGGTCTACACCTACACTTGTTGCTGGCATAGCCTAGCCTGCCTGACCCAGTATTAGGTTGAACCATTGTGGCTTCCTCTGTCTCATTCTCCAGACGAAAGACTCTCCTAAAGATAACAAAACAGCAAGAACAGTGTCCTTTGGGGAAGTGAGGATGTGTGTAAACATATAGAATATACACATCCATCTACATTGCAGGATTGAGCCAAAACTATACATGCATTCACCACAAGAAAACAAACAGCAGGATTTTACAACTGAAATGTTGGTTTGTCTTCTCATCTATTTAAGAGTGAACCACTGGAACTTGGGGACAAGATGAGTATAATGATATTGCAGCCTATCTGTCCGCTACAGTTGCAGTTTTTCATGACAAGCATTCAAAGTGTTAACTAAAACCATTGAAACAACATACCTGCCATTAAAAACCTGAATCTAGAAATAATAACTCCATGAGTGTTTTGCACCTCCAGATGGAATGGCCTTGAATAAATGCTATGAATAGCCATGTTTGCCACTTGCCATTTGCTGTTCTGTTAATCCTTATGCAGAGTCTCACAATTTTCTCCCTTCTTCCTCTCTCAATGGATTATTAAAAACTGAACACCTGTGTAGACGATGAACCAGCTGGGCCAATGTAAGTAGTTTATTCGACATTGATTCAGTAGTTTCTGGTTGGGTTATTATGTATTTGCCGTTTAATCAAAGGGCTAGCTAAGATTGTAGGGGAAGACAGTGAGTGGAAACAGTGTTGCAGTGTAGACTTCTTAGCCAGACATGGAGTTGACTGATTGCCATTTGATTCCCAGGACAGGCCGTACAGTTTTTTTAGTAGCAATACAAAGTGGAATACCATGCAAAAAAAATGTTTAAAATTTTGCACACCCCATATGTTTAAATTGATAATGTGGGGGAAATCACCAGTATATCTGAGACTTCAGGTTTTGTTAAAGTTAATTTCAAGCTCGACTAGAGCATGGATAAACTGCCTGGCTTCATTAAATTGTGTATATTCAAGAGACAAAACTGCAAATTTTGAATCAATCCAAGATAGCAGAACCTCCTAGAGTTGGGGACTAAGTCAGAGGCAGGCAAACAGTGCCCAAATTATTAAGTGCCAGAGGGCACAGCACTGCCTGTATATAATTGAGTATCTTTTATCATTTGAGAAGAGACAGGTGTTGAGTAGAGAAAAAACTACTATTTCACCTTTATAGTAATTATAGTTTACAAATCAAAGGGAAAGTTACCGGTATATTGTCTGCCTTGGGAGTCAAAAGGATCTATTAATTTAAGGTATGTAGGCACTTTACACAGGAATATTAATTGTGTATTAATATTGTGCAATAAGACTTCTTACTATACCAGGGATGGCAGTAAGTGGAAGACTCCCTGTATTTCTGTGTGTTATACTTTCAAAAGTTGCTACTGACCTTGAGTTTAACTCTTGTAAATGCAATTTTTCCTCCAAAGGAAAACCAACTCTACCAACAATCACAAAGATAAAAACTTGCGCCAGAGAAACACAAATTAAGTACTACTTGTAATGTAAGTATGGCCTTCTTTAGAAATTTTTAAAAATTGTATTCAAATGAATGTGCCTCTGTTGACCTTATTAAAAATTCTTCAATAGTTGGTGTTATGTTGCGAGATCTTTTAGTTGATTTCAAGAGCAGCCAATACTGGTGGAACAAGTTGTCCAGTGTAGCAGCTGGAAAGGAAGATTTTCAGCTGAGCTCTTTCACTTATTTACATAAATGCTTTTCAGAGTATGTATGATGTTTCAAAACATCACTTTACCACTTTACTTACCTCTTTAAAAAGAGGTAAAAATGAAATTGTCACCTTCTTAGGTGGATTATTCTCAGAGGCCAGTGGGTCCCACTTTGCTTCTGAGGGCAAGGCAAGAATGGTGGCCAGGCACAGCTGGGCTGGAGTACCTTCCGGTTAGGCACATGGAGATCAGAATTCCACACTGCATCCCTGAGCATGCTGTTTGAACCAAAGCTTTGTTTTATAGGCACTTGGTGTAGTCTTAAGTAATAGTGCATATTTTCTTTTAATTTCTAAATACTCTTCCTTCACAGATCCTTAGGTTCCTGAAACTGGTGGCAACATGACCTGCTAAATTTTCTGCTTGTACCTCTTTGGTTCTTTCCCTTTCAAGTGAGCAGCACCATGATGACTGTCTAAAGCATGCCTTATTTAGCCTCTCCTGTAAGGGTGACCTAGCCAGGTACATTTTAAACAATGCTTCAGTGTAGAAGGTGTAAACTATTTTGGGCTTGATGTGCTATGAATGTTGCTTTTTTTTCCCCCCTTTGGTAGAATATTTAAATAGAAGTAAAAAGGTCCTCTGAGGATCAGATCATGCATGCACCGTTTTTTACTTAATGCAGCTGTTAAATTGGCAAAGCTCTAAAATGCACTGCTGCCATCTAGTGACACATTTTTGTAAGTACAGCAAAACCTACAGATATATACAGTATATAAATATATATATATATATTTATATTTTTGGGGGTGGGAGAAATCCAAAATAAAATAAATGCTTGTTTCATTTTTAAGCTGCTGATACTCATTCCTTACTGTATGTTGTCAGATGAGGAAACTGTTCAGTTCTGGTACATAAAGATGAGTAATATAAACTGAAATCTATAATTTTAAGGGCTTAACCTATGACTTTGATAAGAAGCTGGAACAGTCCTGAATGGATGTAATGAACTGCAGTATATATGTATGATTGCTTTTTAAGTGATTATTTTTTCTTTTGTTAAATCATGTAAATTCTTAAATCCTTTTGCACTGATGTGTTGAACCTGATTGTACATTCAATTAAGGCAAACTTTTATAATTTACCTTTTGTTTTCAATGACCTTGAAATGTTACAGCATGGTATTCTATGCAACTAGTTATACTTTGAGGTTGACACTGTATTTTTTCATTGATTGAGTGTAGATTTTCACACCCGGCAGGGTTCTCACACGGTGCGTAATGGTAGATGCATGTACTTGTGTTCTGTGTAATTGTTGAAGTGCAATGATGTATAAAAAAGTGGATTCACCTGTTTTTAAAAATAAAACTGATAAAAGGTGTTGGAATAATACTCTTTATTCTAGTATCTTCTCTAATCTTAGGAGGAAGCATTTTTTCCATTGCACTCAAGTTCCTCAGTTCTGTATGTATATAGAATGTTAATTGCTCAGCTCTGTCAGCTTTTTTAGTTCCTTTTCCACCTCTTCCACAAATGCTGGGAAATTCTGATCCATGAGGCACAAGCGTAGAAAGGGGCCTAACTCTTCTGTGTTCCATGCAGATTGTTCATAGACCACGGGCAGCTCCTCTGATGCCAGGAGAGACTGTGGGGATTCCAGAAGAGTAGTTTATTAGAGATTACAGGAGAAAGCAACAGCCTGAATAATAGAACACAGAAAACTTTGCCTTAAGGAAAGGTTTGGGAAATAGACACAAAAATTAGTGTTAATTAGCTTTGCAGAGTTCCTTTACATAATGTTTCATATACAAAGTGAGATAAACTTGTATCCTTAGGTATTTCAAGTATATTAATGAACCGATTTGCAAAGTTAAGATCCTGCTTCAGTGAAGAGTATGGTGCTGATAAGTTTGTGGACTGATAAAGCGTGTTGATGAATGGACGCCACTAACTTAGTTCATCCTTCCCACCTTATAGGTGGAAGAATGGGTGTGAGCAGTTCATCATATGGAAACTGGGTTCTGAATGTAATACAGAGAGGTCACAAACCTGACCATCCCAAGGACACAATTATCTCGCTTTTTCTGGTCCTGTCCGTGAGGCTTGACAAGTAGAGGATCCATCACCTCACCACAATATCCATCCCCACAATCAAGACAGAACATTTCCCCCCCCCCCCCCAGGAAGTCCCTCATGCTACCTGCTCTTGTCAGACCCTCAACCCTTGGCAACCATGATCTGTTTTCCATACCTTATAGTTTTGCCTTTTCCAGAACGTCATATGTGTGTTTTTCACATGCTGTTTGCCATTTGTATGCCTTCTTTGGTAACTTGTATTTTAACACCATTTGACTAAGCTGCCAATATTTAAATATTAGGAGAGTTCAAATAAAAGTCTGACTGAGCTTGGCTATTTGGAAGATAAGGCGACATTGGATCCACAGCCCCACGTGACGAAGATGGCTCCAGCTCTGTACGTGGTTCAATTACGTCTGGGCCTTTGACTCAGCCTTCTTATTCTCTCCTCATGTTAATTCTACTTAGGTAGGTGGTTTTCTACCCTTTCCATGGATGGCATGGTTTGGTATATATGTATACAACTGACATTTCTCTAGGAACTACCTGTAATAGAAATTGACTTTTCTAAATTCGAACCAGACTGTATCTAAAAGGTAGAAAGAAGAAAATGAAAGTAAAATGGAGCCCTGTTCTCCAGTGAGAGCCACTGTTACATGTTAGTGTATCTCCTTCCAAACTTATGTTGTGTGTTTTTACTACAGAAATCATGCATGCTATTTTGTAGCCTTTTAAAAAACAATGTACTATGAATATCTTTCCATGTCAATAGATATAGACATCACTTTTAATGACTACATTTTTATCCCGCCTATAGTTATAGCACTCTTTAACCACTCAGTATCCTATTAGTGAATAATTACGTTTCCAGTTTTACTATAAAAAACACTGAAAAACATCCTTGTATATATATTTGTGTAGATGAAACGGTATTATAGGTAATAAGATATAAAGTTAAATTTTACCTATATTGCTGAGTTGCTTTCAATACCAAACTTATATTCAAAGAACAACTTGACTAGAAGGTTAGAGCAAACAAGTAACATATCTGAGCTCCCAGCCTGGTGCTTTTTCTTCTTTATATGGTTCTTCTATATGATGTAAATAAACTGGGCTGAGGTACACCTTTTATAGCAACTGATACTTCCTGAATAAGGACATCACAGACTGCCTTGCTCATGAATTTTTTCTGTGGCTCAGCCACTGTAACCCCAGTGCAGATATGAGGCTACAAACTGGGCACTATAACGTCTGCCCTGTGATTGTCCGTTTATTTTGAGTGAGTGGTGAGCCAGATGGAGAAAACACCTGTATTTTCTTTCTTATACCACTGTTAGCACAGTTTAATAAAGAGGAAATTCATCCTTGAATATTGATGAATTCCATGCAGAATTCTGTGGAAAGCACAGGCTGAGAGCCTGCTGTCAAGCACAGCAGGGAATGCAGTGAGGAGGAGACCATCTTCAGGAGCTCCAGCAGACCAATCCTCAGGAACCCTGAGCCTGAATGAATAGTTCAGGAGGAGTCTGTGGTGACAGCAAACTGCAAGGGGAGAGGGCATGTCCGAAAGCAGTTCTGTGGTAACAGAGTTGAATCCTCCCGGGTGTCCACACATCCTTAGCTGAGATCCTCACACTTAATATCTGCCCCTACAGAAACTATCTTGATATGATTCCAAATTCATATTGATACTTTATCTTAGAAGAGTTTCCAAATTTCATTTCCAAAATTAAATTGAAATTCTTACCTGTATTCCTCTTTCTAGGATAGGTGGTGAATAAATTCTTTATCTCACACATTTAAAGGCTAACACTATGGACCACTCTTCATCTTTTATTTCCTCAGGAGAATAATTCTTCAGTATGTGTCATCGTGTTTAATCTTACAACAAGGGTAGGTGGAGATGGCCTGTCTCTGTCTTTACCATCTTCTATAGCAACACTTTAAGTTACTGTTCTAGAACAATGGATTGAACAGAGGGATACAAATTCTTCAGGATCACTGTTTTTCCTGACATGAAAGCTGAACATGGAAATAGGCCCTACCTGAGCTAACCAGGCCACTGAGGTCCTTCCTCTTGGAGTGCCTGTGCCAGCTGGTACCCACTGTTGCTGCTCCAGGTTCTGGTGTGACTGCAGTGGAACTACATGCAATTAGGCGGATGGCTGAACAGGCCATTAAAGAAGTGGAAACACATGCATTCATGTTCAAAGAAAGAAAACATCAGTAAAAGTGGTAAGATCATTGTTGGTGTAGTCTGTCCTGGTTTAAGCTTGGCTGTTACTTGATTTACCACAGTAGAGGTACAGACAGAGTTTAAATCTGAGGCAGCTGCCCTTACGTTCCTTCTGTCTGTTCCTCATGTCTCATAGGTTGGCAGTGCTTTTTCTTGTCTGACACCGTGGTGTACTTCTGTCTTCAGAGGCCCAGCCCAGGACCATGTGCTGGTACTGGAGGGCAGTGGACATTGCCCAGCTTCTGATGATCATGATTTGTCACCTTCTAAAAATTATTACTCAAGTAATACATGTTCACTGCGAAAAAGGAAAATGGGGGAAAAAAAAACCCTATAGTTGCAAGATAATCTTACATTTTTAATAAAAGTTTAAAAAATCTCATTTTAGACATTCTGAGGGAATGAGTTCTTCTGTTAGTAATATTCCTAGGTATCTTCATTCAACAATGTTTTGTGCCTACTGTGTACTAGACACTGGGGTGATAAAGGGAAGGGAGCCACAAAGAACAAGGTAGAGGTCCAGCCCTCAAGAACCTACAGCCCAGTAAGAACTTAGCAAGTCAGGAAGTGCTGGAATGGAGGTAAATATAAGACTTAAGGCTTAGAGTGGAGGGGAGTACAGGAGGGGTGTGTGCGCTAAGCATGAAGGGTAGGAATGCTTTAGAGTCCAAGCTGCTTCAAAGGAACCTGTTATAGGAGGGTTTGTTCTCTAGCAGAACACAGGGGATGTTTTCTAGGCAAGCAGAGTGAATAAGGTATAGAAGGAGGCCTGGAGGCATAAGAGGCTCTGAGGGCTGCTTCTACCTAAAAGTGCAAACTTTTCCAAGAGCCCCATCACTCCTCCTTCCTAGCCACATGTCTGCAGGCCTGGTTATGTTTTGGATACATGTGGTGCTTCTAGTGCTAATCTCCAGACAGTTGTGAGCTAGTGGTATCCCTCAGGGAGAATCCAAGATCCTCCCTGGAAGGTGTCTCTATCAGCAGCATGTTCTGACTGCCAGAAGTAAATGTTCTACATGGAAGCTGACTGTTGCTAGTTAGTGCGTATTAGCAGAAATGCATATCTGGAAGCATCAAAAATGGGGTGGCAGGACAGAGAGGAAGGAAAGAACAAAGAAAAGAAAACTAGTCAAGAATACTAAAATAAAAATGAGCAAAAAGGTAAGGGACTTTAATGAGTCTAGAATCCTTAGGCAAGCCCCATTTCTCTCTTTAGTTTCCTAATCTGGAAAAGTCAGACTCTAGTGTTTCTTCCAGCTCTGATATTTGATGTTTTCCTAGGAGACAGATCAGTTCAGCTCACACTGTGTTCTTCAAACAACTGGGAAAGACATCAACCAAAATTCATATGTCATCCACACTGACCTATAGCCAAGTGCGATGGAAGCAGCTGAGGCTACTGGGGTGGCCCTAAGGACTAGACAGTCCTCTGCCCAAGCGCAGAGAGATAGAAGGTTCTGTGCACACAGGAATGAGCCCCTGGCCGCTTTCTGCTGGACTTCTTGTGCTAACAGAGCAAAGAGTTCACCTAGGAACTGCCCCCCTCTCTGAGTAGGCTGGGTTGCCTTAGAAGCCCTCAGGTTGAGAAATACCTGGTTAGGCCACAATTAGCAAAATTACAAGGCTGAGGAAAAGTAAAAAAATAAGAGCCAGGAAGTGACTCAAGAACTTGAAATAGAAAGACATGGAATTATCTCTGTTTGCAAAGAAGAGAATAACTGTTTTAGACAAAAGAAAATATATAGGCCAGAGCTTGCACCTCTTGAACTGGATTCTGAAAAAGGGAGCATGATAGCAAATTTGCACAGCAGCAGCTAAGGGCAAGCCTTAGGAGTTTTTGGCATTAGGAAGACTAGAATGTTCTAGGTAGTGCTTCACAATACCTGCATGCTGGTGAATTAACCCAGTAGCTTTATCTTGTCTCCTGCTCTGCAGTATCAGACACTCCATCTTGTCATGGCCCTACTGACTAGTGAGTTCTTACCCTCAGTAATAACTGACTAGGATGCTCATTTGTTCATTTGCAAGGGAAGGCAGATCTGAAAGGGTAACAGCACTGGCAGTAATAGTAATAATGGATCATGTTATTTAGGTGTTTGCCAGGTTTTGTCCTAGCTGCTTATAGACAGAATTTCAGCCTCACCATTTTACAGATGAGTGACTTGTATGAGATCACGTAGCTACTAATAGGGCTAGGATTCAAACCTAGATCCGTTTTGATTACAAAGCCTGTGGTCTTTGCACAACACTGTGCCATCTCATCTACTCAGAACACCAAACTACAGATCAGAGGAAGACTTTGACTATGGAATCAAGAAAAGACATGAAAGTTTTGTCATAAGCACGAAAGTACCTTATAATAAGCCATTCCATCCCATTTGTAGAGAGGGGATTCTTAAAGAATACAGCAGCAGCTGATGAGGCAAAAATGTTTTAAACTAGATCCAGGGTTTGTAAAAAAAAAAAAAAAAAACCCAGCTTTAGTGTTAAGACATGTTCACAACAAAAGTCATGCAGAAACAAATGAAGGGGAAGAATTCTAAAACATCAAAATTTGATATGGTAGGGCTTCCCTGGTGGCGCAGTGGTTGAGAGTCCGCCTGCCGATGCAGGGGACACGGGCTCGTGCCCCGGTCCGGGAAGATCCCACATGCCGCGGAGCGGCTGGGCCCATGAGCCAGGGCCGCTGAGACTGCGCATCCAGAGCCTGTGCTCTGCAGTGGGAGAGGCCACAGCAGTGAGAGGCCCATATACCGCAAAAAAAAAAAAATTTGATATGGCAAATTAAACATAGTCAAGAAGAAATCATACAGTACTTGTTTAAAGAAAAACATTTTATGATAAATAATGTAAATCTATGTTCGCCCCAGATAAACTATGAAAAGAAAGTTGGTGTAAAGGTGAATTGTCTTGGCCCAGTGAGTTTAAGGGGAACTTCCAGGATGAAGTGATGGAAAGCCAGGTTTGGAAAATCATTAATCAAAATAGAAAATAAGAGAACCCAGCTTGAAACTAGAATTTCATCCCAGGAGCAGAGGTAGCTTATGCTAGCAGCATGTGGGACTATGCCAAAGAAATGCTAGAATGTGTACCTCGAGGAGAAATTCTGTAATAAAGATTTCCAAACTTTTATAACAAGACTCCTTTACACTCCTAAAAACGGCTTTTGTTTTGAGTTACATGTGATATTATCTGTTAGAAATTAAAACAAAAACTTTAAATATTCATTTAAACCTTATAAACCCATTATGTTATATTAAAAACATTTTAATGAAAACTATATTTCCTAACACAAAAATATAATACTGCAAATCTCTTTACTATCTAGCTGGACTCTCCTCCTATCCACCTCTGCACTCAATCTGCTGACACATGTTGTTCTGGTTGAAGTATATGAAGAAAATCTGGCTTCACACAGATATATAGATGGAAAGTTTTTTTTTTTTAAATGGGTTTTTCAGGTAATTGTGGATATTCCTTGATACGACACCAAAACTCAACAAGTGGTAGTTTCTTAAAGGTTATTTTCAAGGTAGAATCTGAAATCACAGCAAGGAATTTTTTATACTCTGTTATACTAAAATCCTTTGGTCTAAGCAATCTCTGTACTGTTTTCCATAGCAGTTGTACCAATTTACATTCCCACCAAGAGTGCACCAGTGGTTCTCTTTACTCCACATCTTGTCTTTTTGATAATAGCCAGTCTGACAGGTGTGAGGATATCTCATTGTGGGTTTTTTTTTATCGTTTTATTTTTATTCAAACATGAATAAGTACAAGATAATATAAAATACATGACATCATTGATCACTTGAGTATCCACTACTGATTTTAAGATAAAAAACAGCATTAACTTTGAAGTCACTAATGTTTATTTAAACTTTTTATTTTATATTGGAGAAGCGATATCGTATATTTGTCTTTCTCTGACTTCATTCAGTATGACAATTTCTAGGTCCATGTTGCTGCAAAATGGCATTATTTCATTCTTTTTAATGGCTGAGTAATAGTTCATGTATATATGTACCACATCTTCTTTATTCATTCCCCTGTAGATGGACATTTAGGTTGCTTCCATGTCTTGGCTATTGTAAACAGTGCTACAGTGAACACTGGGGTGCATGTATCCTTTAGGACTATGTTTTTCTCCAGATATATGCCCAGGAGTGGGACTGGAGGATCATATGGTAGCTCTATTTTTAGTTTTTTAAGGAACCTCCATACAGTGGCTGTATCAATTTACATTCCCACCAACAGTGCAAGAGGGTTCCCTTTTCTCCACACCCTCTCCAGCATTTGTTTGTAGATTCTCTGACGATGCTCATTCTAACTGGTGTGAGGTGGTACCTCACTGTAGTTTTGATTTGCATTTCTCTAATAGTTGAGCAGCTTTTCATGTGCTTCTTGGCCATCTGTATATCTTCTTTGGAGAAATGTCTATTTAGGTCTTCTGCCCATTTTTGGATTGGGGTGTTTGTTTTTTTACTATTGAGCTGCATGAGCTGTTTATATATTTTGGAGATTAATCCTTTGTCCGTTGATTCGTTTCCGAATATTTTCTCCCATTCTGAGGGTTGCCTTTTTGTCTTGTTTACAGTTTCCTTTGCTGTGCAAAAGCTTTGAAGTTTCATTAGGTCCCACTTGTTTATTGTTTTTACTTCCATTACTCTAGGAGGTGGATCAAAAAAGATCTTGCTGTGATTTATGTCAAAGAATGTTCTTCCTATGTTTTCCTCTAAGAGTTTTGTAGTGTCTGGTCTTACATTTAGGTCTCTAATCCATTTTGAGTTTATTTTTGTGCATGGTGTTAGGGAGTGTTCTAATTTCATTCTTTTACATGTAGCTGTCCAGTTTTCCCAGCACCACTTATTGAAGAGACTGTCTTTTCTCCATTGT